AATATCCTGGGTAGTTATGTAAAATATTAAAACATAGTCGGTTTGTATCCAATCTTTTGTAATGACTTTGTCAATGTATAATATTATTTTATAAATATGCATGTAGCATGTTTTGGAGTAACTATATTGTCAAATATGAAAGTTTGGGTCTTTCAGAAATATGAAAGTATAGAAATGGGTCCTTTCATACCCTAGGATCCTTTTTGGGTCCATACATTTGTAATAACATTATCCTATAATAAGAAAATGGTTATATATCAAAATTAATGATCAACTACATTGTAAACATGTAATATCAAAATTGTACCTCAATATCCTTTGAGGGTCCCTTAATCTACAGGATACGACGAAACGATTTTGCCATGAACATTCATAAGGGGAAACGCCAAACATGTTAGTGGTTTATCATCTGCAATTTAGAGATTTAGGGTCTGGGCTGTATGATAATATTCCAAATACAGTTTCAATATATGACAAACGAATATGATATGTTTTTATTGAATTAAATAACACCACAAATGTCAACTTAAAGTCCAGGCTTAATAATTTTGCCATATGTTGTCAACATTTTTATTGAATTGGTTTTCACCTTCTCGAATGCAATGCCGTTTCTCGATTTTACTTGAGGAAGATTTGAAGCTTAAATAGATAAATATACTTAAGCCAAGACGGTGTATATCCATTAAACTATCGAACAAATGTTACAAACCACAATTATCCCCAATGTTCTAAATAACTTAGGCATGACTTGACGACAATATCAAACCTCAAGTTTTTTCAAAGGCGACATTTTGTTAAAGTTTGACGACAAGTCGACAATTTTGTCTATAATTAATAATTATATATATATATTTTCTACTAGTATTATTTATTTTTATATGTATATATGATTCAAGGCGACATTTTGTTAAAGTTTGACGACAAGTAGAAACTTTGAAGCCATGAGGAAACCATGACGAGTTTTAAAAAGATTAATTATCCCCCAACAATAATAATTATTACAAATGATGTCACCCTTCCATGGTTATCTTTGCTTTTCCTCACAAATAATATATTTAAATTGAACATTTTTATTACACCAGCCGGTCATATTAAATTAGCAAATTTTGAACAATTTTCTTTTGTGATAAGCGGAATATTTCTAGGCAAATTGACCACCATGCCCTCCTACCTCTTCATATTTCTAGGCAAATTTACCACCATGCCCTCCTACCTCTTCATATTTCTAGGCAAATTTACCACCATGCCCTCCTACCTCTTCATCTCATGTTATGGTTATACTTTGTACTATGAGATCAATAGGGCTAATTTGGTCATTTGAAGCTCAAAATTTCACACGATTTACCTGAGTAAAGGTTAAGGGTATGATAAAAAATTCAAAATGAGAAAACCCACACAAAACGTTAAAAAATCACTTGCTGCATGCTCCTCCTGGCTATAACACAAGAAAGGGGAGCCCTCACAAATCAGTCATCACTCTCTTTCTACAGACGCTTGTAAAACCCTCTTCTCTCTCTTCTCTCCTCAATTTCGCCATCGATCGATAAAGGTATCTTTTGATGGTTTCTGAACTAATCGTTACGCACATTTCACAGTAGCATTTCAGTAGAATTAGGGTTTTTCTGTCGAAATTTTTTCTCGGGAAAACAATTTCCGTTCTGAGGTTCTGTTTTGTTTTTATTTCTCATTTCGTAGTTCTCCTTGATTTTGCAGAACATAAATGCATGTGGTTAGTCTTCTGATTTTTTTGCGTAAATGTGTCGTTTGACTGTTCAGTGCTGTTTTAACACATGTTTTTGCTTGTTTCATTGTTTGGTTGTTGAAAATGTAGGGTTTAACTTTCTGTTCTTTCTATATCGCTTTACTCGTCGGAAATGTTATTTTAAGCGATCTTCTTCTACATAATGCTTTGATCGCTGTTCTCTTGTTCTTACAACCATCAAGTGATTATTCCTCTTTTCTAGGTCATAAAACTTACCACATTTGTGGATTTTGCACATATGCATAAACATTGTTTCGTTTTTGCTTTGACGAGTCGTGTTGTTGGTGTCTTAGCGTGCTAGTTATGCGATGCTACTTTACTGATGTTTACAGTATGTGAAATGGAGAGTTATTGTACCTTATGGTTTACTTTGTTTCTACTACCCTATACTTGCATCATAGTACTCTAAATGCTTCTATTCCTAGAAATATCCTTGTTTCAAACGTCCAGTTTTAGGCTAAGTTTAATGTACTTGAAGATCCTTTTATGTTTTTGAAAGCTAAGCATCTCTGTCTCTCTATTAAGGTAGCTGCTAAAAGTGTGAAAAGTTCTATGGACATCTGTGCTGTAATTGGGAAATGAAGGTGTCATTATTAGGTTGAAAATGATTGGTTTTTTATTTCTCTTTTTTCTGATTGATAAAGCTATATGTTGCAGGGATTAAAGGCATGTTATATATTACAGTACATTATTTATCATGTGTTTAGTAAAACAATTAATTTGGTTTTCTGGTTTATTCTTTCCAAGGTGGTGTAATGCTTTTTTCTTGATGAAACAGATTTGATGACGGAAGAAAATCCTTCACCACCTGTTTTGGAAGGGAAGATTACCGGAATAAGTTTCTCATTGGCCACTGAAGACGAGATTGTTAGTTTTTTTTTACTTTCCTGCGTAAATATCATTATATCAGTTATCTTGGTAATTTTTTTGTCTAACTACCTTTTTGTGTGTGATGCATGAACATACAAATTCGAGTAGCGTAAAGCTTCCATTAGTGATTGCCCCATTAGCCATACGAGCCAGCTGTCCAATCCATTTCTTGGACTTCCCCTCGAAGTGGGAAGATGTGAATCTTGTGGCACAGCTGAACCTGGCAAATGTGAAGGTGTGTAATGTGTACCATTTGCTTATCTTTTCCCCATATTGTAAATATCTTACATTAGTTTTAATGTGCTTGATACATTCTTTATTAGGCACATTTAACCAATTAGTTTTTTTGAATCCATTCTTTAAAATCTGCTTCTCTTACCCGTTTCAGGTCATTTTGGGTACATTGAGTTGCCGATTCCGATATATCATCCATCTCATCTTAATGAGCTCAAGCGTATCTTGAGTTTAATATGTCTCAAGTGTTTAAAGTTCAAGAATCGCAGGGTATATATTTTTTGGTTTCTTTAAGTTATGTTTATATCTCATATTTTCTTTCTTGAATCTTTTATAAATTTCTGGGGTATTGGAGGGGACAAAAATAACAACATTTTAATAAGGAAGTGCTTTAATTCTTCTCTTGTTTTACACAATGTTTTTGCCACTCTATGAATTCGTTCAATAGGACTTGCCTATTCATGAGTAGACACGAGTGCACACATTATTATCCTCACTGTTTTGTTTTAGTTATTATTTATGTTTATGGCAAGAAGGTTCATTTTGAAAAATATTGTTAAAAACATTCTAAAGACAGTTATTTGCAGTGATAAATAATAAATATATGAATATTTCGCAAGTATACATGCAGTTCTATAAATTATTCTTAAAGAATATTAGAGGATACGAGTTACAAATATTGAAACACGCCTAGTTGACTTTTTATTTTTTATTTTTCATTTTCATTTATTTATTTGCTACATAATTCATTTGGCATAAAGCAATCACACATCCATTTCTTATACTTTCTCTTGCTTTCAGTTGCCAAACAAGACCGCTGGTATGTTTGAAAAGGTTTTGACTGTATGTTGCGAGGTAAGCATCCTATATCTATCTAACTTTCTCAAACCTAAATTTCCGTTGATACATTTTATTTTTTTATTTATTGTATTGATTTAGACTCTTGTTGCTAAATGTTGTATAGGAAACTGCAAATGTAACTGTGGACGTGGTACAAAAACAAGATGGTGCATCTTACTTGCAGCTTAAAGTTCCATCTAAAACATGTAAAGAAGGGTTATGGGAATTTCTTGAACGTTATGGATACAGATATGGTGATGGACACAAGCGACCTTTACTTCCATCCGAGGTACTTCATGAAACTATTCGATGATATGATATGATAAGATAATCAGTTGATTAAATATAGTTAGTTTGATAACTTTTACTTTTTGTGCAATGATTTCAGGTGTTGGTGATGTTAAAGAAAATTGACAAGGAGAAGGCAACTAAAAAGAAGTTAGCTGGGAGGGGATGTTTTTTCCAGGAAGGGTATATCATGCAACATCTTCCCATCCCTCCAAATTGTCTGTCAACACCAGATGTCTCTGATGGCATCAATGTTATGTCATCGGTTAGTTACTTTTTCTTTAAAGATTTCTGAACATAGTGTAGAATTTTTTAATGAAAATAAACTTCATTTTGTTGTTTCTGAAATTATGCATGATTATCTTTGTAATGGAATTCCAGGATATTTCAATGACAATGCTTAAAAAAGTTTTGAGACAAGTGGAAATTATTAAGAGTTCCAGATCTGGGATTCCAAACTTTGAGTCTCTTGAAGTCGAGGTTAATGATCTACAGAATGCTGTAGCACAATATCTTCAATCAAGGGGGGCTAAGGTATTTCTATTGGCTGTTATTATCTCTCTTTTTGTGTTAAATGAAAGAAATAGCAATGTACTTTAATTGATTTGTTATTATATCATTCTACTTCTATTTCTTCTTTGTACAACCTTGTAGTTTTGATGAGTCTACCAAATTAGACAAATGTTATTCAAATACAAAACATATTTGAATGCTATAATTGTGTAGATTTTTTAAGTATGTCCTATAACTGGCTAGATTTTAAAAAAATACAATGCTTTAATAAGAAAAAAAAGTAAAAGTACAACCCTGTAATAGACAGAAATGTAAGTAGGATGGTATAATACACAAATAAATGCTATTTCTTGCATTTAGCCCTTCCATTTTTGCTCTTTTGTTTTTGTGTAACTAATGTTTTCTTTTGATGCTTTTAATTCTTATAGGCTTCTCCTAACAGAAATATACGCTATGGAATTGCAAAAGAACTGAACGACTCCTCTTCAACCAAAGCATGGCTTGAGAAAATGAAAACTCTTTTCATCAGTAAAGGATCAGGATTTTCATCCAGAAGTGTCATAACAGGTGACCCCTACAAAGGTGTGGGCGAAATCGGAATTCCTTTTGAGATAGCTCAGAGAATCACATTTGAAGAAAGGGTAACTGAATACAACATGAAGTTCCTTCAGAAGTTGGTAGATGACAAGTTGTGTTTAACATATAGAGATGGCAATAACACATATTCTTTAAGAGAAGGGTCAAAGGGGCACACGTTTTTGAAACCAGGACAGGTTGTTCACAGAAAGATTATGGAAGGAGATGTGATCTTTATCAATAGGCCACCCACTACCCATAAGCATTCATTACAAGCTTTATCGGTTTATATCCATGATGATCATACTTTCAAGATCAATCCTTTAATCTGTGGGCCATTGAGTGCGGATTTTGATGGAGATTGTATTCACATTTTTTACCCTCAATCCCCGGAAGCAAAAGCTGAAGTGTTGGAGCTTTTTGCAGTTGAAAAGCAGCTTTTGAGCTCACACAGTGGAAATGTAAACTTGCAGTTTGGGTCTGACTCTTTGTTATCTCTTAAAACTCTGTTCAAGAAATTCTTTTTCAAGAAATCAGAAGTCCAACAGCTGGCATTGTTCACATCCAGTACATTGCCCAAACCTTCAATGTTAAAAGTCGGGGATTCTGGCCCGTTGTGGACGGTTTTGGAGCTTCTGGAAACATCTTTACCTCCGGGATTTGATTGCTCTGGGGAACGGTTCTTGATCAAAGACAGCAAAATATTGAAGCTGGATTACAGTCGGGAGGTGATACAGTCCATCATCAATGATGTGATCAGTTCGATATTTTTCACTAAAGGCCCCAAAGAGGTGTTGAAGCTGTTTAACTCTTTGCAACCGATGCTAATGGAGAATCTTTCCGGTGAGGGATTTAATCTAAGTTTGGAGGATTTTATTGTCCCGAAAAGTATATTGAGAGATATCGAAACCGAGCTTCAAGATTTATCTTCTTTGCTATATCATTTGAGATCAACCTACAACGAGGTGATTGCGTTACAGCTTGACAAACATCTGAGGGCAGTAAAATCGCCAATTTCTGAATTTATCTTGAAGTATTCATCGATGGGTAGTTTGATCGATTCAAAGAGCGATTCTGCTGTTACAAGAATCATCCAACAAATTGGGTTTTTGGGACTACAGATTCTGGAAAAGGGGAGGTTGTATTCAAGAACTTTGGCAGAGGATTTATCGAAACATTTTTGTGGGAACTATCCGTTTCCAGAGAAATACCCGTCTGAGGAGTTCGGGTTGATCCGGGGCTGCTTGTTCCATGGGCTTGACCCGTATCAGGAATTGGTGCATTCTATTTCAAACCGTGAAGTTATGGTGAGGTCTTCGAGAGGGTTGACTGAACCCGGAACTTTGTTCAAAAACTTGATGGCTATTCTTCGTGATGTTGTGATCTGCTATGATGGGACTGTGAGAAATGTGTGTAGCAATTCAATCATACAGTTTGAATACGGGGTCCATACACAGAATTTGTTTGCGGCTGGTGAACCGGTCGGAGTATTGGCGGCAACCGCCATGTCAAACCCTGCATACAAGGCGGTTCTTGATTCTTCCCCGAATAGCAACTCCTCTTGGGATATGATGAAGGTATTCTATTCTGCTCATTCTAATTCATTTAAATTTTATATATTTGTTTATTATAGCATCCTATATTCTATTCTGCTCATTCTAATTCATTTAAATGTTATATATTTGTTTATTATAGCATCCTATGCCTATCTCTACTTTTTCCTATTACAGCATTGTACTTTTATGCCATCCAAATGCAAAGCAATTTTCACTTGGGGTATTGAAAGTACAATGCTATAACTGGGTAGATTTTTTTGAAGTACTAGGCCTTGATAAGAAAAAAAAGTTAAAAGCACAAGGCTGTAATGGAAAGAACTGGAAGTAGGCTGCTATAATACACAAATAGATGAACTGAAAGTACATTGCTGTTTCTTGCATTTAGGTTAATTTGAAGTTTTTCTTGCTTGTTCTCTTGATATTCTTAAATTGTTTCTCTGATTTCCAAATTTTAGGAGATTCTGCTTTGTGGAGTGAATTTCAAGAATGTGCATAATGATCGTCGGGTGGTACTGTATTTAAATGACTGTGATTGTGGCAATAAGTATTGCCTTGAGAAGTCTGCATATTTTGTGAAAAATCATTTGCGAAAAGTCAGCCTTAAAGATACTGCTGTTGAATTCCTTATAGAGTATGTTTATCGTTACCTATTCACTTTGTGGCGTTTTCACCCCGAATCTGTATTGATTACTTTTACTCCTATTGTTTGCTGAATGCTGATTTCTTCCTACAGATTCACAAGACAGCAAACAAGTGAAAATACTGAAATTGGTGCAGGACTTGTTGGTCATATTCATCTGAATCAGGTTTTTGTTTTTTGTTATATAAAATTGATGTGAGCATAATATAATGCTTTCCTCAATTTCAATTTCTTTAGTTTAGTTTGACAACAAGTTATAAACGTTATCCGAGCAGGCAATGTTGAAAGAATCCAAGATTAGCATGGAAGAGGTTCTTGCGAAATGTGAAGACACCCTGAATGTCTACCGGAAGAAGAAGAAAGAAGTTGGATTATTGTTCAGGAGTATAGCTTTATCTTGCGGGTCTGTAATATGCTTGTTTCTTTTTTACTTTATGGGGAGAGAGAGGACTTAATCTATAAGCTATATGAGTGTCACTTTCTGAATTAATGGACCATTTTACCCTCGTTTGCTTTTTCCCCCCACTTCCCCAAACGTGGCCTTTTAGATATAATACAACTTTTTTTTTTTTTTTTTTTTTTTTTTTTTTTTTTTTTGCAGTGAATGTTCGTTCCACCAATCATCAGAAAACAAATGGATGCCATGCTTGAAATTCTTTAGGCAGGACACTGGCGGTCATCAATTGGAGAAGGCCACACGCATACTTGCTGACTTCGTTTGTCCTGTTCTTTTAGATACAATTATAAAAGGTATTTATCGATTCTTGTTTATTTCTTAGTCCTAAATAATTCATATATAAGGGCATTCACGTCTTTTACGCAAACAAGCTATCGAAAGCGAGTAGCTATCCCACTTTTTTGGTTGTGACTTTTGAAATTGTTTTATCATTGAATAGGCGATCCGCGGGTTAAAGAAGCAAATATCATTTGGATCGGTCCGGAATCAACCGTTTGGATTAGAAATCCAAATAAGGATCAAAACGGTGAATTCTCTAATCCAAATAAGGATCAAAAAGGTGAATTGGCAATTGATGTGGTTCTTGAGAAGGCAGCTGTTAAGAAAAGCGGCGATGCATGGAGAACAGTGATGGACACTTGCCTTCCCATAATGCATCTGATCGACACCACACGATCCATTCCTTATGCAATCAAACAAGTCGAAGATCTTCTTGGTACATCTTGCGCATTTGAGCAAGCTGTCCAGGTAACACTATCTATCTATCTTCACAATTTCTAATTTGGTTACACTAGACTTCAAATCCAACCTCGATAACTGCTATAAACAACTACTGGAAAGTGTTATATAAATCATCATTAAACTACATATCACATGTAAGGATTTTTAAAGTCGTGTGACCAAAATCCAAATTATAAATGAAATGAAAATTAATTGTTATTTGTTGCAATTTGCCCTCAGTTGTAAGCCAAAAGTTTTAGTTTCTTTTTATAATTGGGCTAATGCCAAGAAATAGCAGTTACTTCCATTTATGTGTTTTATAGCATCCTACTTTCAGTTCTTGCTATCACATCTTTTGTACTTTCATTTTTTTTTTCTTGTTAGAACATTATACTTTGAAAAACCCACCCAATTATAATATTTAAAGTTGCTCTGACATTGCTATAACTGGGTGGATTTTTCATAGTACAATGCCATAATATAATAGGAAGAAATGTAAATTAAACGGAAAAAATGAAAGTATAATAGGAGGAAATGAAATTACATTGTTATTTTTGGTTAACCTTTTATAATTTCTTTTCAGAAGCTTATAGTGATTTTCAATAAAACACGACATGCGGCATATGATAAGAAAAATGTAACTGATCCGTTTTTGCTTTTGTTGTGTAGCGCCTCTCAACCTCTGTTTCAATGGTATCCAAAGGCATGCTGAAAGAGCACCTACTTCTATTGGCGAATAGCATGACATGTGCAGGAACTCTTGTTGGTTTCAATCAAGCTGGCATAAAGGCCTTGTCCAAAACCCTTAATTTCCAAGTACCATTTTCCGAAGCGACATTATACGTAAGTCATCTACTTTGTACCTTATAGATATTTGTGTCTGACCAAAAATTTACATTTTTATCCTTTGAATTTCTCCAGACACCAAAACGGTGTTTTGAGAAGGCGGCTGAGAAGTGCCATTCTGATTCTTTATCGAGCATTGTGGCTGCTTGTTCTTGGGGCAAACCAGTTGCTGTGGGTACAGGATCTCGGTTTGATATACTGTGGGACACAAGAGAGGTTTGTACTTGATTCCAATCCATGGTTTATTATGAATGCGTAGAGTACAGTTACTTATATACCCTCATATTATCTTAGGGTTAAATGCTACGATTAGCAACATTTTTGGATTAATTTAGCATCCTAGACTATATTTCTAATATAACTTTGAAGAATCTTAGCAAATAATAGGTGGATTTTTTTAAAGTATAATGTCCTATCCTAATAAGTAAAACTTGGAAGTACAATGCTATGATTGTGGATTTTAATAAGCATTGAAAAAATCGAATGTACAATGCTGTAATAGAAAGAAATGAAGGTAGGATACTATAATACACAGTAAATTTGTTTTGATCAAAATTTGATGGAGATTGCACCAACATGTTTATTATAACTGATTATTTGATTATGTGATTAATGATATTATGTGATCTCTTTGAAAATGCACATTATTAAATATTAATATGAATTATGTTTTCAGGTTGAACTTAACCAAAAGGATGGCATTGATGTATACAACTTCCTTCATTTAGTACACGGTGGATCAGAAGAAGAAGCTGATAATGGGTGTCTTGGTGGTGAGGTTGATAGTTTCGACATGGAGGATAATTTCATGGAAGCGGGGTCTCCCGAGCATGATTCTGGTGCACCTAAAGCTGTTTTTGAGGACAGTTTGGAACTAAATCTTGGTCAAATGGAGACTGCAGCTCCTGAAGACGGGAACTCCGGTGGCGGATGGGGAGCGGCTGTGAAGAGTACACCAGCTGAAAGCAGCGGTGGCTGGGGGACTACACCTACGACTGAAGGTAGTGGTGGCTGGGGGGCGGCTGTGAAGACTACACCAACAACTGAAGGTGGCAGTAGTGGTGGCTGGGGGGGAGCTGTGAAGGCCACACCAGCAACTGAAGGATCTGGATCCGGGTGGGGCAAAAAAGCGGAAGAACCTGCATGGGGCGTGAAGAAACCGGATTCAGACGCTGGGGCAGGATCAGGATCAGCTCCATGGGGTAAAAGAGAGGAAACTGCTTGGGGTAAAAAAGCCGACAGCGGGGGTTCAGCTGCCACCTGGGGTAAAAAAGATGACACCGGGGACTCAGCTCCATGGAGCAAAAAAGCTGACACTGGGGGTTCAACTCCAGCTCCATGGGGTAAAAAAGCCGACACTGGGGGCTCAACTCCAGCTCCAGCTCCATGGGGCAAAAAAGATGACACTGGGGGCTCAGGCTCAGCTCCATGGGGCAAAAAAGATGACACTGGCTCAGCTCCATGGGGTAAAAAAGCCGACACTGGGGGTTCAACTCCAGCTCCAGCTCCAGCTCCATGGGGCAAAAAAGATGACACTGGCTCAGCTCCATGGAGTAAAAAAGCCGACACTGGGGGTTCAGGTTCAGCTCCATGGGGCAAAAAAGATGACACCGGATCAGCTCCATGGGGTAAAAAAGATGACACTGGATCTGCTCCCGCTCCATGGGGAAGAAAGGATGTTAAAGCTGACGAGCCCAGTCAAGTGGAAGAGTCTCAGTGGGGTAAAATAGAGTCGTCTGGTTCCTGGGGCAAATCAGTACAAAAACCTGATTCCGTTCCGAAATGGGGTGGGAATAATAAAAGCGATGAGGGGTCGGATTGGAGCAAAAAGGTGGAGGAAAAAACAGAATCCAAGGATGGATGGGGTTCTCAAAGTCAATGGGGTGCAAAGAATCCTGAAGGGGGGTCATCAGTAGACACCACCACCACCACCACCGAAGGCGAGAAACCAGGAGGAGCTTGGGGATGGAATCGGAAACCTGAGCAGAAACCGGATCAGGGGCAGGGTGGCTGGAAAAAGAAGGAAGGGTGGGGGCCAAGGAGAGACCGGCCTGCTCGGCCAGCTGGCGGGCCTAATGATGGGCTGAGGCCGGGTGGGGGTGGCGGTGGACCGTTCACTGCATCTCGTCAAAGGCTGGATCTGTTTACTTCAGACGAACAGGAGATTCTCGCTGATATTGAGCCCATCATGCTTTCTATTAGGAGAATCATGAGCCAAGAGGGGTGGGTAAACTCTGTTGACTATTTAAATTATAGCATAACCTTTCCCAATATATCGTTCTACTTTGATAAGGGTAGTTACGTCTTTTGCACAGAGGAAATAAGTCCCTCCCCGTGTATTTTGTAACAAATGCATGGGGATTTGTATTTTTATTTGAAAGTACATTAAGTTGCTAATAATAGCATTTTTATTGTTGTTGTTGTGAAGATATAATGATGGCGATCCTTTGTCTGCTGAAGATCAAACATATATCCTTGAAAATGTATTCAACCATCATCCAGAAAAAGCTCAGAAAATGGGAGCTGGAATTGATTATGTCATGGTATTAATTTTGTTTTTCACCAATCCAATCTACTTGCTATATATATATATATATATATATATATATATATATATATGGATTTGGAAATTGTAATAATTATTATATTATTGTTGTACTTGTAGGTGACGAAGCATACGCTTTTCCAAGACAGCAGGTGTCTTTTCATAGTGTCAACAGATGGGCGGAAAGAGGACTTCTCTTACAGGAAGTGTTTGGAGAACTTTGTTCGGGGAAAATATCCGGACAAAGTGGACGAATTCATGTCAAAGTACTTCAAGAAGCCTCAACCTCGGCCCCCAAGGGAACCACGCCCCCCTGGCCCAGGTCAAGATGAAGCCATCGGGACCCCTAATTCCCAATCCCAGTCTGGATGGAAACGGGGGGATTCCAATGATGAAGGCGGCACCCACACCCCTCGTTCCCAGCCAGGATGGAACCGGGATTCCGGTAGTGATGCCGGAACACCCCGTTCTCAATCGCAATCGCAATGGGGAGGGAGTGAGGCGGGAACACCTGTTTCTGGTTCTGGATGGAAGAAAGAGGCAGAAGGCGGAGGAGGATGGAACAAAGGAGGTGGAGGGGGAGGGGGTTGGGGGTCCTGACTCCTGACTCGTGAGAGTGAGAGTTGATTTGAATTTGGGATTGGAATATTTGTAACCCTGTAGGTAATGTAGGGTAGGGTGCTGGCTTTTGCTTTTTTAATCTCTGGTGCACAGCAGACAGTAGTAGTAAGTAGTAAGAAAAGGAAAGGTTTTGGTGGCATGAATGACATGATGGGATGTGATGTGATGTGATAAATATTTTGGATGATTAGTTGCTTCATCTGCGATTTGTGATGTGTATGGTAATTAATGCAGATGCAGATGTATGGGTGTGTTATTGATCGTTTTTATTATAGATTCTATCAATGGGCATCTGTTTGTTTCTTGACAATGCAAAAATCCATTCCTTCACACTTCACGTGTGCTAGCTAATAAGACAGATCCATCAATATTGATTGAGATAAGCATCACATGTGTTCATCTCCATTGTATCATAATCATATAGAATAAAATTACACACATCTTGTAAATATGATAGGATATTCTACAACACTCCCATAGTCCCATGTAAAAAGAACAAGTTCAACCAACTACCATCAAACTACAATAAGGTAAGCAATGAACTAATAGCCATAACCATACCTTGAATTTATATATGGAAATGAGTCGAGTCTGGATTTGTACTATGTGCCGTGCTTTCAATGCTTTCTTCTTTCTCCTAAAACTAAAACTTCTCCTTTTAGAGCCACAAACCACAAACGTCTTTTGCAACTCTTCTTGTGGTGAGTGTAGTACCCCAACTATAATTTCTGGGCTTCTTTCAGTAAGCTCATTGACCGATGTTTGTATCTTATGTTGTTGTGGGTAGGGGCTTGTTAATAAGGACCATTTTAAGTTTTTAGACTAAACTGCACAAATGGTCCCACTGGTTTACTCAAAATTGCCACTTTGGTCCAAAAAGGTTTGGACTAGCACCAGAGGTCCAAAGTTTTCATTTTGTTGCTTGTT